TTATACCACTTACATCTTACCTGGGATTACAGAAATAGTTTTCAAAGCTCTCAATACTCTGAAAGTTCGAAGAGCTGAAACATTGCCTAGGTTTACAAATTCTGTTATATACCTGTAGAATTAAACCACAGTTATTCAGAGTTGAGGTAGACTTCAGGGTACTTACCTGAGTATTTATTTGAACTAAATCCTTTTGGTAATTAAATTATAATTTAGTTTGAGTGATTTTGCGTTCAGCACGTAGAGTGGAAAGTAACTCCCACCGGGAAAAAAAAGCCAACTGAATGTGTGTAAGTTTGTCAGTACTGTCAGTGAAACATTTGCTAGCACATTTGATATCAATGATTAAAGACGTTTTACCACTTATATATGGCACTGGTTTTGTTAGCAGATTGAAACTTAGGTGTCTGGATTTCCATGCCTGTGTGGATGTATTGTGGTGGAATAAAGTACCTCTTCCTTATAAGGGAGCTGCATTCAGCTCTATAAAATGCACATATACAGAAACTGTCAGTGCTTTGTTGGAAGCCTCATGTACTTACAGTTGTTTGTGTGATCAATAAATTAATGTACCACTTTCAAAGTGATATGGATTATTTAAATGAACAATTTAGAGCCATGAGGGTATATGTGTATTGTACGTGTATGTGCCTGTATATGTCTGTATTTCAGACCATTTGAATCAGTTATACCATACTATTGCTTCAACAAATGAAATTTGATATTTAAGAAAAAGGGAGGAAAACTGGATTAAATACAGCAATTCATCCTCAATCTGCTCCTACACTTCCAGAATACCTTGTGAAGAAACATGGATTGGATTTCAGGACAACCTGTTTTGCTGATAGAAACTATTTTACAGGTAAAGGGAGCTAATTATGACCAAGAAAAACTAATCACAAACTGAACTAAACATGAGATTAGTATGGCTTTGTTGTAGTATCTGGTGACAGCTTTTCCATTCTGCTCATGCAGTGAGAATTTCCCACAGATTCTTTCCACCTTCTGGGATTCCTGCGCCTATCCCAGAGCGGTGGTTAGGGGAAGGGAGCATGCAGGGAAATTTTTCTTGCCTATTATGCCCATTCCACTAAGAAAAAGCTATTTGCAATTCATAAAAAATACAATTAATGTATGTCAAAATTGTCATGCAGGTGCAATATTAGTGACACTGGTTTTTTAAAAATACATACGTCACCTATGTTAAAAAAAAAAAAAGGCTGAATACTTACGCAAATGAAATGACGAGAAAATCAAGCCAATTCCAAGGATCTCGAAGGAAAGTAAACTTATCTATACAGAAACCTCTTGCAAAAATTTTTATGAGGGATTCAAATGTGTATATTCCAGTGAATGTGTATCTGAAGGGGAGAAAAATCCAAACAAAATTGTCATTCCCACAGGATTTAGTATTTACTACTTGTTTTATTATTGCCTCCTTTTCCTTTTATTTGGTACCTTCCAATAATGCAGAGATTACTGCACTGAAAATGGTAATTTTTCTCCCCAGCCCCCCCCCACTTTCATTCCCATTTCTGCTCCAAAATCTAAGGACAGGAACATTCTCTTTATCAAAAAGATTATACTACTGGATTTTTAACATTATTTTTATACTGAGCTACTACTGTAGATATACGTTTCATTAAAAGTTTTAAGACATAAAGATTTAACATAACTTTAGACACAATGCTAGAGGGCTGTTTTTAAATTATGCAGAAGTTTTAAAGAGTACCAATGTACCAAGTTTTTAATACAGGAAGGTAAGGTTCCTTCTTATTTGCTAAATAAGAAGGAAGATATATTAGTAGAAGGAACATATATTAGTTTATTACTGAAGTGACAGACTAGTGATAAAAATATATCAAAGCCCTTATTCTTTTATGGAAGCATATTTTAAATGTTCTATTTTGGACATGTACTTCTTCCATATTTTTCTCCATAAATTCCATGAAATTTGGTTGGTGAAACTTCCTTTTTTCCTTGAATATGTCATGACTTGTCTCCCAATGACACCAAAATCTACATTTCCACATGACAGACAAGAGCTGCGGCGATGGAGACAAGGGAAAAAAAATCCATTTTTATCTTCTGAATTTTTTATTGGAATGTTTAGCATTTTCAAACGTAATCCTTTTCAAGATACGTATGAAAGCTTATGTATCTGATATTTTTCACATGAACACAAGGTTGTGCATTAAGTGCTACCATTTGCATGGTAACAGCTAAATAAACAAAATGAAGGACCAAAGTGAGTTTTTGAAAAATAAATCAATCTAAAGAATAGCTTTCTGAAATAAAGAAATGTCCTTTACAACAAAAGATGTATGGTTATTGTAATTATATTTGAAGCTTAAGGAATCCATAAGTTTCTGTAAACTGATACAAAACTGAGCTGTATGAAATTCGATGCATATTATTTGTATTGCTTTCTCAGTGAAGTTCTATTTTGTTTAATTTTTTAAAATATTTTTAGAAATGTGTTAAAAGTTTGCACCTGTCTACCCTTGCAGTAGATTACAGATTAAAGAGTTTATACATATTTGTCAAATGTACATGATACATAAATAAATAGAACTATTAATGCAAATTGTCCAAGTATCTTTTTAATGCAAATTTCCCTGCTTTCATCTTTTGATATACTTTTCCTAAAGATTTCAACATAATGCATTTGCACACCAGTTTCAAGACTATGAAATGTGGTGCTGAATATTGTTCACAAAAGTATTCACAGCAGAATTGTTTCCCTTCTTATGGAATTATAATAAATATTGTACCTGTCAATGAGGATTTATTCTAGCTGGTGTACAGGTAGTCCTCGACTTACAACAGTTCATTTAGCGATCGTTCAAAGTTACAACAGCACTGAAAAAAAGTTAACTTAAGACCATTTTTCACTGTTACAACCTTTGCAGCATCCCCACATGGGGATCACATGGTCATGTGATCAAAATTCAGGTGCTTGGCAACTGGTTCGTAAGTATGACCATTACTGTGTCCGAAGTTCATGTCATCACCTTTTTCAACTTTTTGACAGGCAAAATCAATGGGGAAGCCAGATTCACTTAACAGTCGTGTTACTAACTTATCAACTGCAGTGATTCACTTAACAACTGTGGCAGGAAAGATCGTAAGTTGGGGAAAAACTTACTTAACACATGTCTCATTTAACAGAAATGTTGGGCTCAACTATGTTCATAAGTCGAGGACTACCTATATATAATAGGAGCTCTAAATCAAAAATTAAATGGAAAAAAATCTTCCTTTCCTACTATTAGCCAAACTATCCTGAGCAATGTCTATTGACAGATGCAAACACTGAATTTAAACCATTACATTTCTATTCCAATGAACATAATTTTCAAAGTTTTCAGTGTGGCTCTATCATTAAAACTGCATTAAAGGAGCTGCATTTTTTTTTCTTTAAAAATGTAAATTGCATTAATAAAATAAAGGTGAAATTTCCCCTGTCCAGCTGTGTCTGACTCTAGGTAGCGGTGCTCATCTCCATTTGTTAGCCAAAGGAGCCAGAGTTGTCCAAAGACTTTCCATGGTCATGTGGCCAGCATAACTATATGTCAAGGGAGCATGGAATAGCAATAGCACTTAGCAATAGCTATAGCACTTAGACTTATATACCGCTTCACAGCCTCTCTAAGCAGTTTACAGAGTCAGCATATTGCCCCCAACAATCTGAGTCCTCATTTTACCCACCATGGAAGGATGAGTCAACTTTGAGCCTGGTGAGATTTGAATTGCCAAACTGCAGGTAGATGGCAGTCAGCAGAAGTAGCCTGCACTACTGCATTCTAACCACTGCACCACCGTGGCTCATGCTGTTACCTTCCCACCAAAGGGGTGCACATTTATCTAATCATATTTACATGCTTTCAAACTGTTAGATAGGCGGGAGCTGGGGCAAGTAATGGGAGCTCTCCAGCTGCCAAGCTCGGCATCTTTAACTGCTGAGACATTGTGTCCCATTAAGTTGCATTAATAGTCTAAATAAAAATTGTACATGGTATATATCTACTAATGTTCTGAAAAATGTATCACTGGCTCTTCTGGCTGAATTACTGCTGTGAGTTGCCAAACAGCTGATCAGAGTACCTGGCATTGTTGCTGAACTCTGTTTTTAACTGACTCACAAAATTCCAGAAAATTTAACAATTGGTTCTTGCAAGTCAGTATAAACCAGCTCCAACACTACTACCACTTGGTGGTTTGGGGTTAGGTTAGGGTTAGGGTTGCTGGGTTTTTTTTGGGGGGGGGGGATGGACCAAAAGCAATCCATAAAACACCATATATATTTTTTTCTTGCTATAAATCTGCATCACTGCCTAGATACAATATTATCACATGACTGTCTATATATGACTAAGAAAACAAACAAATCATGTACTTACTCTACCATCTTTGACCAGTCAGGAGGTTCTTTCAAAGTCATGAATACACAGTTTGTGAGAATAGTAAACATAATAAAGATGCTGAATAATGTTGGATTATGTCAAGGAATATGTGACAAATTCTAGACAAATATTTACATCTACCAATTCATTTCAATATATGTCTACTCAAAAGTAAGTCCACTTAACTGAATGAGATAAGCAGGCATAAGTTTATTCTCTAAATAGCAATAGCATTTAGTGCTTGCTCCATAGTGCTTTACAGCACTCTCTTGAGCGATTTACAATGTCAGCATATTGTCCCCAACAATCTGGGTCCTCGTTTTACCAACCTCAACTCCAGATTGTGGGCAGAATCAGCTTGCAATACTGCATTCTAACTCCTGTGTCACCAATGTATCCATGTTTTTTAGGATACTGGTTTATAAAATATTCAGTGTATGAATTGATGAATTTAATTGAAAATATATCTACAAATTCCACATAAAAATGTCAAAATTTATCTTGAAAGTAACATAAAAAGTTTTACTTCCAAGATAAATCCAGTTTTACTCCATTGGTAGAAAATCAAAAGGAATCTGGTAACATCTTTTACAACTGTCGAATTGTATTAAAAAGCATAATCTTTCATGAACTATTGGTTACTTCATCAGATACTCAGGGTGGTCACAATAAGCTGAAGAAAAGAAAAGAAAAGAAAAGAAAAGAAAAGAAAAGAAAAGAAAAGAAAAGAAAAGAAAAGAAGAGAAGTGAAGGAAGGTTATTCCAAGTCAAATGATATCTACAAAGAGAAAATTTTATCTATTTAAATAAGGATATAATGTTACCAAAGTAATCAAAATTAAGGAAGAGCATTGTACATCTCTCTGACAAAGGAAACTGATGCTGCTGTTTAAAAAGCAGTTTCATAAGAGAAAGCTTTACATTACTATTGTTGTAAAAGGATATGAATGAACTAAAATTTTTATAGAAATTCTTCTAAGAGTACTGAAAGGACTCAGCATGTATAAGGCAGGTGTGGCACTGAATCTGAAGATAGTCTTCCCTTTATTCAATACTATAAATGTCTGACAAGAGAGAACAAAACAAATAAATGCAATGTTGTAATCATGTTGATTTTCTTTCTTTAGTTTTACATCAAGCTGCAGTTCCAATGTTCCAGATAATCACGGTTTTCTATTATGAGAAGGAGTCACTATAAGCCATATGCGATTCCTTCCCTTCATAATTGTGCAAAAGGAGTTTTCAAAACTTCTGAATTTCATTTTACACTAAGCACAATTCTGTATAATATTCCTGTTCTGTATTCATTTGTTTCTAGAACATACCACCAGCTTTCCTTTTAACGAACAATTATACTGGGGTTTCAGTACAGCATTAAAACTACAAATCCTCCAAATTACAACATATTAAAACTGTAAAATCATCAGCTTGCAAAATCTTAATAATTACCACAGGATTAATGAGACTCAGAAGCACTAAATCAGTTAAAAGCCTGGGCAAAGACAGCATCTGTTGTAAATGAACGGGGAAGATTTCCAGGCTTTTATATCTCTTGTTGCCTATCTTAACTATTTTTTTAGTATGCCATAGTGACGTATCATATCGTATGATAAAAATATAAGTGTTCCAACTTATCAAATTCTCCTGGTACATTTTTTATGAGATGAATACACCCTCTTTAATTTTAAGGTCGGAGCATGGTGGCTCACATGGTTAGGACTCTGGGATGGAAGTTAGCAAGCCCATGTTCGAGACCCACATGCTACCCTGGGCCAAGACTGAGTTCCCATCCTTCACTCCAGCTCCTGCCAGGGACATGAAAGGAGTCTCCAACTGGGTGTCCCCTGAGCAACAGTACATGTTTCTGACATGAGCGCAATTTTAAAGGTAACTGCATTTTTTTGATCTGAATTGTAAACTATGATTGTCATTGTATGATAATTTTATTGACAAATGGCAGAGTGTACAATTCCAGTAAGCGTCGTATTTCCCATTTGCAGTATGATTGTATGTAAATCCACACCTATGGCAGCTGGTTGAGAAATTTTCTACTCTTAGAATAGGAATGGTAGGCTTTGTACACACCAACCGTGTGGCATTTATCACACAAAAAATGCAAAGTAAGTATTTAAGGGTTACGCATTTCGGTTTGCCACAAGGAAATATGGCAAATAAGACATCAATTTTCCACTTCAGTACAAATGCTAGTGGATTAAGAAAAAAGAATAGATTTGTGGGTCATTTGTTATAATGTTCAAATAACTGCTAGGCAAGATGCATTCACTAGTCCAGGGGTCTCAAACTCAATTTCATTGAGGGCCGCATCAGGGTTGTTTGACCTCAGGGGGTCAGGGTGGGCATGGCCAGCTCGACATCACTTGTATCGGGGGTGCCTGTGGTGGCCCGAGTGCTCTGTCAGCAAAAACAGGCTCCCGAGCTCTGTTTCCAGCTGTGATGGCCTCCTTCAACCCTCTGCCAGCAAAAATGGAGCTCGGGAAGGCTGCCTTCCGGAGCTCTGTTTTTGCTGGCAGAGGCACTGCGGGCCGGTTGTTCACTGTTTCCAGGGCAACCCTGTGGGCCAGGTCTAAGCACCCCACGGGCCGGATCTGGCCCACAGGCCTTGAGTTTGACACCCCTGCACTAGCCAAACACTGCTAGTCAAGGTTATACATAAGACTTGTTTCATACACATTATACAGCACATATATACTCATTTACACATGCTGGTTTTAATCTTTATGAACACTTACTTTTTTATTTGCATAATAAGGGTCCAGGTCTTCCAAGGGCTGAGACACAAAGTGAGGAGGAATGTCTCCATAAATAAAAGGCAATGGCTTCCCTGCTTCCAAATCAGTATTTGGCTTTGGCTTGCTTTCATCGTGGTCTTCCTCCTTTTGCTCTTGATCTACTTTTTGTTTGGCTTTTTCCTCAGAGATCCTTTGCTCAATTGCTGCAAGGGACTCCTGAGTGAATCGGAAGAAGCAATCGGGTCCTGGTTGGGCAAGCAGTGCATGTGCCATTTTTTCATTCTGTAAGTTTTAATTACTTTTTAATTCCTATGAAAGAATGACCTACGAGAAGGAGGGAAATCATAAAAGAGTTTAAAAAAAACGAAACAGCAGCAACAACAAGAGGTTTTGTGTGCCTCTGTGTGAAACTTCCAAACTGCAATAGGAAACTAATCAATAGATTCCTGGCCAGGCAAATATGAACTCTTTTATTTTTATTTTTTTCAGATTTTCCAAGTAAAGTTAGGATTAAGGTTGTAAAGTTCAGTGCAAATCAATGGGACATGGTGCAGTAATCTTTAATCATCTACATTCAAAATCCAGGCTTGAAGTTTTCTGTTAGTTATAATAGGGGTGGGATTCTACTTGTTTAATTTAAAATAGGGGTGGGATTCTTCAGAACAGGTAGTTCTGAAGAGCAGCAGACACCGAAGTGGTTCGGTGTCTGCTGCTGTTTTGGCCCACTCGCCCACCCGGGCTCTTACCTGTCCTTTATTTCCTGCTTTTTCAACCACAGCTGCTTTGCACGGCACAGCTGCGGTTGAAAAAGCAGGAAATAAGGGCTTTTTCAACAGCTGCGCATCCACACGCAGCGCTGCTCAGCTGTCTGGGAGGCTCAGCATGGTGTTAATTGCGTGCGTGCAGCGTGTGTCAGGCGCACACATGCACGAAGCACCCATGCGCCCGTGACCCAGAGCAACAGAACCGATAGTTATACCGGTCGGATCCCATCCCTGGTTAAAATGCCATTTAGGCATAATTGATACTAAAGCCTTACAACATTCAAATCATTATCAGAAAATTCTATGTAGCGTTTGTATGCAGCTCATCTGAACTATTTAAGTATTTGCATGCAGAATCAGAATATGCAGGAATCTTTTTCTTGTTCTAAAGTTGCACAGCAAGAAATTCCACTGACAATCAATAAAGAAATTTCACACCCACAACTCTTCGCCTTCATCTATTGTTTAGTAACACAAAATATTTATCAGGCTGACAGAGTAGATTTTGGATTGTAACCTGACCTTATATAAGCTGCTGTAGTGGCCCTTTCCATTAAAAAGTGAAGAAAAAAAGGGCACAGGTATAGACAGATCTGGCTTATGACCATAATGGCAATGACCACATGTTCACCTTGTTTAACGATCCTTACCCCTCACCTCCGCAATGTGGTCGTTAAGCAACTGTGCTGATCATTATGTGGAGTATGGTGTACCTCAGTGGTGGGGGAGACGCTGGGAGGCCTAGCCCAGGCTCAGGCACACCTCCCCCAGGCCTTCCAAGGCACTCCACACCCCAAGACACCCCATACTCCACTTCCTGTTCCTTGAGGTCCTGTGGGTCAGGGCTGTCAAACTCCTGGTTCGTGGGCCGCATGAGTCAAACGCTGGCCCTCGTTTTAGTGAAGGGGGAAAATGTCCTGATACGTCATGCCTCCGTGATGCGAGTTTGACCCTGTAGGTTTTGAGAGCTCCCCCAGGCAATGTTTTCACAACAATCAAGATCTGGACCACAGAAGCCGGTGGGGACACAACATGCACCAATATGTTATTTGTAAATGATGTAATTCATGAAATTTGCATGAATTGTGCCATGATGCAAATAATGCAGAACTTGCCATTCTCACAGCTTATACATTAATATCATGATATATGTGATGTCACTCCATCCCCGACATCGTGGAAAGTGCAAAATGTTCCATCTCAGCTGTAAGGGAAAAAGAATGCATTTGGCAAGTTGTAACTGCTTAGATGCCAAATGTAGCTTAAGTTTTAAACAGCCTAAGCACCTACAAGGATGATCATTATTTCTGACAACCACAGGAACACCGAAAAGAAGATGAGGGAACCATACAACGCACAGCACCGCACTGCACTTTGCTGAATGCAAATCAAGCATTTGTGTGAAAGGAGGTTTCCCCCCCCACCCCCAATGCAAATAGCAGGTGCAGCAGAGCTGGTCCAACCAGAGAAAAGGGTCAAAGCTTGCTCCCTTCTCCAAGCACTTGTTACTTATTTTAAGAAGCTGTTTCAATAATTTCTATATTGTAAATAATGTCTTGTTTAATTTAGCCCTGAACCACTGAATAGTTAATATACACCATGCTTATGTGCACACACATTATAGAGCAAGTCCTGAACACAAAGGAATTAACTTAGAAATCACAATTGTGTTGTTTGTGTACCTTTCCTAATGCCTCTATTTTTACCTATGCGCCAATGTAAAAGAAAAAGGAATATTGGAAACACCATCCACCTAAAATAAATATTTATTTTAATCAGTCCATGTAAATTTAGCATACATTAAGCAAACTTTTACTTGCTTTACATAAACCATTTGTACGTTTACGGTGTTTTATAGATGTCAGGTCCATAATAATAATTATTCTAAAACATTATTCAGTATTTTACTCTCAAAACCTTTTCACAAAGAGGAAAACATAGAAAGAAGGGAAGATCAGACTGAGATCAATGTAGGCCAAGTTTGATTCAAATGGAGAACCAGTTTGATTTTCTGGTTAAGGCACAAGGCTAGAAACCAGGAGCCTGAGTTCTAGTTCTACCTTAGGCATGAAAGCCAACTAGGTGACTTTGGGCCTTTCTTTCAATGGGTAGTTTCTGTTGTCATTATGATTTTAAAAGAGTAAACACAGTTGATTGATAAGAAATGGCTTATGAGTGAAAGAAGCGTTTTTGTGTTATCATTATATTCTCTGAAAAATGGTCAAGAAATCATAAATTCTGCCAGGGTATGTAAACTTATGAGCACAACTGTACACCTTGGTATCTATTTTAAGAAAACTATAGTTTTGCCTTACTATCTGTTGAGAAGAAAAATAACCAGTGTTAGAATTCAAAACCTGACAAGAAAGTTGTGTACTTGAGATGTGCAGCTATATAAAATGAGTGAGGAAGAAGGCAGCTGATTTCCCCCACCACACTGTATCATTTTTATAACAAATGGTTGGTTTGGTTTTCATAAGGTGAAAGCTAGGTGTCCTACAAGTAGACCACTGCTTAAGTATGAGCCAGCAGTCTGCCACAGCTGCTCAAAAAGCCAATGCAGTCCTAGGCTGCATCAACAGAGGGATAGCATCAAGAAAAGGAGAAGTCATAATACCACTTTATACTACTGGTAGGTGGGACTAATGGGTCCAGTTCTGGCCGCCACAATAGGAAAAAGATGCTGAGACACTAGAAAGAATGTAGAGAAGAGCAACAAAGAAGGGTTGGAGACTAAATCACACAATGAATAGTTCAGGGAACTAGCCTAACGATGAGAAGGCTTTGTGGTGACATGATAGCAGTCTTCCAATACTTGAAGGACTGTCACAGGGAAGAGGGTGTCCATTTATTCTCCACAGTACCCAAGAGCAGGAAAAGAAGCAGTGGATGGAGGCTCATCAGAAGAAAATCCTATCTGGAACTAAGGAGAAATTTCCAGACAGTGAGAATGATTAACCAATGGAACAACTTGCCTCTCAAAGTTGTGAGGATGTTCCATCACTGGAGGATTTTGAGAGGATATTGTACAATGTTTTCTCCAGAAGAACTCCTGCCTTGAACAAGGGATTGGACTAGAAAACTTCCATAGTCCCTTCCAGCTCTATGATTCTGGGTCTAGTTCACACACGGTTTTTAGTTCCTCCAACCTTCCTTTCCTCAGCCTCATGTTTTTTTTTTATCTTCTGGAAAGCACTGGTTGAAATGAGCCATTGCCATTCAATTAACGACAAGTGCTCTATCTGGCACTAACATTCAAAAGTTCTGGCTGGCTTCCCTTTCAATTTCCATCTTGCTGTCTGTCTTGCTCATAGTAGGAGCTTCCAATCTGCCCTTCATCTTAACACTCAAATGTCCATCACACCCTTGTTCCTTTGCTTTCTTATTTCACCATTCAGGGTCTAGGCAAGTGCCACAAAGAAGCAAACATTAAGAAAATCAAGGTATTTCCCCCATGTCTGCACTGTGTTATTCCTTCACCCCAACTCTGGGATATCATCAGTATGGTTGGAAGATGTTTTTTCTTTCTTCTTCTTCCTCAACCATACTCCCTTAAAACTTTACAGGTAATCTTTGCTTCCTAACCTCTTGTTTGTTACAGTTGTTACAGGCTGCAATTTGGGTGCTTGGCAACTAGACTGCCAAATTACATGTGGTTTTCTCACAAGGCTAGGGAACGCATCGAAGCTTTGCTATGAAGGCAGGGATGGGCTTCAAAAATTTAGCAACCGGGTTCTCTGCCCAGTTGCTGGGTGGGCATGGCCATGGTGGATGTGGCTTAGTTGGCCTCCTGCACTACAGTGGGAGGGCTTTTTCCTTGAGCCTCCAGAAGGGTGAAAATGGTCTCCCCAGGCTCCGGAGGCTCTGTGGAGGCCAAAAACTGGGCTTCTGGACCTTCTGGGAGGCCCGTTTTTTGCCCTCCTCGGGCTCCAGAGGCTTTCTCGAGACTCCAGGAGACCCTTTCCCACTCTGCTCGGGCTCCGGATACTCTCTGGAGGCTGGAAACTGGATCATTTCCGGCCTTCTGGAGCCTCCGGGAAGCCCATTTTTCTGCCTCCCCGAGCCTCCCCGAAAGCCCTGCACTTACCTGGGATCCAAAATGGGCCGCGTGGAGACTCCTGGGAGAGGAGGGGTGAGCGTGACCAGCCAGTCACTGCAACTACTGGTTCCGTGAACCACATGTAAAAATAACATCCGGTTCGCCCAAACTGGTGTGAACCGGTAGCAGCCCACCCCTGAATGAAGCCACATGCAATTAGAACAAGGCATGTAAAATGGTTTACATTTTTTGAACAATTATGTTTTAAAAAATAGGTTTTGGAATGAAAAATTGAAACTGGTTGCTATTTTCTACTTTGTACTCCAAGTACAGAGCCAGTTTGGTATAGTGATTAAGGCACTAGGCTAGAAACCTAGAGAGTGTATGAATTCTACTACTACCTTGGACATGAAGCCAGCTGTGTGATTTTTGGCCAGTCACTCTCTTCCAGACCTGGAAAAGGAAGCAAA